TAATGTTATCACTTGTCATATAAAACCAGAAGGAAAAAATGAAAATCTTTTCCTAAGCTGCCTGAAATTTCACATGCCTGTAAGAAACAGATATTTCTGAAATCACAATTAAAAATTGATCTGGCATAAACCCTCTGAAAATAAAAAGTATTTAGAATTAGTAAAGATTCTTGAGCATGAGATGTTTATGGGAAGTAGTCTATAGGTACCATATAGGTGGGTTTTTCAGTCATATAAAAGTATTTGAGCAGACTGAAAAATATGACAGAAATAATTTATGTGTTTTTTATTTTCTCCACTGATTTTTAGCTGTGGTACTTATTGTTCTCACTGTGTTATAAGGCTCAGATCAAACAAAATATATGTTAATACAAATGTATAATTTATTCTACTTTAGTGGTAGGGTAAGATTTAAACTGGTGGCTCTCAGTGGTCACCATCCGTCAGTTTCACCTGGGGGAGATTTTTCAAAAATACCTATGGGCCCCACCCCCAGAGATTATGATTCAGATTTACGTGGCTTAGACTCACATTCAGAAGCTTCCATGCAATTCTAATATGCATCCAGCCTTGCCTACTGCTGATTTTAACCTATAGAATCAAATATTTTTAGATATTAGTGGAAAAAGATATTTTCAACATTTTAAATTCTGATGTTCTTTAAAAATTGTTTTTAAGTTTAAAGAGTAAAAGGGAATATTTCTTTTTTGACGTTCATAATTGGAGCTTAATTTTTTTTTCTTCTTCCCTGCCTCCCATTTTTAACCACTGTCTGCTCATTTAGGGATAAGTGAAAACCACATTTTAGACCCCTTGGAAATTTTTTCTGATGTGAAACTTCAAGCTAGACCCTCCCCCACACACCCCCTTTGGAAACTCCTCTACATTGATTGCTTGTCCTTTCCTCTTCCCTGAGAGCCCAGAGACTGTCCTGCCTGCTTCCTTTCCACTGCCATTCCCTGGAGCTTCTGATTAGTGCCCCTGGTCCTCTGCAACTCAGATTACCACACCGCCTCATTCCAACTCATTTTCTTGGGTTCATAGTACCTTTGCAGTTTTCTAAGGGCTCTTAGTGCTTTTAACTAGAAAGGGATTTTTTCATTTTGTTTGTTTGTTTTAAAAGGGTCCTTAGTGCCCACCCCCTTCCTCTAAAATCCTGTGTAAAATGACAAAGTTGTGCACAATTGATTATTGTAAGTTCTAGTACAGGAACAAGAACAAAAACGAAAAGTTAATATTTATATAAATTTCAAAGCAGAACTCATGCGCTGAATCTGGGTAGTTTGAGCTTCCTAATGGGGCTGACTGGCATAAGTGTGTGTATTTTAGAAAGACAAGAGAAAGGAGGGATTTTAGGGGCAGGTTTTCTTTCCTTTGTTTCTTCTACCACAGTTCTCTGATGAGGAAAGTTCCAGTTGAGAGGAGGATCTGGGGCTTTGGGCAAGAGTATGTCGGGAATTGCAGTGGGGAGCAGCTGTAAGGAGAGAATTCCTTGGGTCAGCAGACTAAGGTGGCAGTTTCAGGTAACCCCTACTCATAAGGAAAACAATGTTTACCCTTTCTTTGTACAATTCAAGTTGGATCATGTTATTTCTCTGCTGAAAACTATTTAGAGACCTTCCATTTCAGTCTGAAAGCCATCATCCTCACTGTGGCCAACACAGCCCAAAAGATTGGCCTCTCCATTTCTTCCCAGACTTCCCTCTCACTACCTTCCCAGTTGCTCCCTCAGCTCCAGCCACGCTGCCTCCTTGCTGTTAGGCACACTCCAAGCCTGGTCCTCCCTCAGGGCCATCCATCTCCCTCTGCTGCCTAGCCACTCTTGCCTCTGATTTTCTTGCCTACATGTCACCCCTCAGCGAGGCCTCAGCTTCTCCAGAGGTGTAGGACCCCAGCCCTGCCTGTTCTCTTTCCCCACTTGACTTGCATCTCTGCGCTCTGTTACCTCCATTTGTGAAATGGGGTTCGTAGTTCCTGCCTTTAGGATTGTTGAGGCGATTAAAAGAATGAATATAAGTAAAGTACTTAGCATAATGCCAGACACAAAATTAGCCCTCAGTCCATCAGATGTCACTGTCTCAGTGCTGCTGCTTTGGGAAAAATCACAGGATGCTTTATGTTTCTATGGTGTTGCTGCTGTGGTCCCAGAGGGACACTTAACATTAGACCCTGGCCTCATTTTCCTTTCCTGCCTCTTTCTCAATGTGGGAGGAAGTGTATCCGAGATACCCTTGTCCCCTTTGGAAATTTGTCCTCGGGAATTTCTGAAATGTTGGCTGCCGTGGGAAAATGGGGAGGAAGGGCAGGCCCGGGACCTTTGCTCTTGTGTTTTTCTCACATGTTGTTTTTAGTTGTATTTAACTTTCAGAATGTTATTTATATTTAGGGAATAAGTTACCTTCTAAAGTAGGGATTTTTATTTCTTTTTTAAAATGTTAGATAAGAAATGACAGTCTTGGTGTTTATTTGATAGCAGATTAGTTTCTTAGAACTTCAGAAAGGCTTTTCAAAACACTCAAAACAGTAGCTATTTTAGTACAAAAATACATATGGAAACTGAATCAACTTACCTTAGGTCATAACATGAGAAACCTTTAGGGAGTTGAAAATGCTAAATTTTCTTTTTTCTTTTCTTTTTTTTTTTAAAAAAAAAGCTTTTTGAGGTAAGAAATGTATGCCTGTTGAAGAAGAAAGATAAGTTTGCAATACAAAAAATCAGCAGTTAGAGCAAACTTTCTAACACAATAAAGTTGGAATCCTGTTATTCGCATTGCATGTTGCTGAACAGACTGAACTATCAAAGTTATTTTAGTGTTTTAGAATGTACTAAAGAATCGAGCCGGGTGCGGTGGCTCCACGCCTTTAATCCCAGCACGTTGGGAGGCTGAGGCAGGTGGATCACATGAAGCCAGGAGTTTGAGATCAGCCTGGCCAACCAGATGAAACCCTGTCTTACTAAAAATATAAAAATTAGCCAGGCGTGGCGGCACGTGCATGTACTCCCAGCTACTCAGGAGGCTGAGGCAGGAGAATCGCTTGAACCTGGGAGGCGGAGGTTGCAGTGGACTGAGATCATGCCACTGCACTCCAGCCTGGGCGACAAGGCGAGACTCTGTCTCAAAAAAAAAAAGAATTGGTTTGTTTGTTTACACACAGGCTGCTCTGCTTGATCAATCTCTTGTGCTTACTGAGAGGGGCCAGGTGGGACCGGTTAGTGACTGGTCTCAGTTCTTGGGGAATCCCTGTCCCAGCACGTTAGGAAGTTGTATGTGTGGTCATCAGGTTGATCTATAAGCTTTATATAGAGTCGTAATAAGAAATTATTTCTAGTGTAGTGTAAACAGTGTCTAATTTAATATTTTTAAAATTTTAATTTAGATTTTAAACTTTGAAACCCAAGAAAAAAATTATAGGTTCTCAGCCTTTGTGATACTGTGTCTGGTGAGTAGGAAAACAACACCTTTTAGAGTGAGACTCTCTTCATAGATATATCTAAATCTTGGCACCTGGGATGCAGCCAGGCACAGAGTAGGCATACTGTTTTGCTGGGTTAAAATAAAAGAGGGGCTGTGGATGGCTAAAAAAGGAGGATGATGAAGTTAGGAGAACACATGCCCTGATTGCCCTTTCTCTTTGGAATTGGATGGGGCAGTGCCAAGCCTGCCTCACTCCAGATGGCTTACTTGTCCCCCTTGCTCAATAGTAAAGTCCTTGAGAGAGGGGACTGTGTGTTTGTTTATATTTTATCAGTGTCCTATCACCTGGCAAACATGACAAGCTCTTAATGTTTATTTAAATTAATAAATGTTACAGAGATGAACCAAGGAAATGAAGATTACATTAATTGTGGTCACCCTCTGTGGCTCTTCCTGATTTCTTTGCTCATGTCATAATTCCTTTTCTTTGCCTTGTATATATTTAATGAGTCCTAGACTCTTAGAGGACCCAGTGAAAGCTGTGGTTCCTGTCTTTAGAGAGATACAAACATACATTTTGGGTTAGTTTCAGAGGTGTTTGTTGAACACTGTGAAGCCCTTTCTGGATCTGATCTTGCAAGCTTATGAGGTTGAGTAAAAAGTGGACCCACAACTGTTTGGATGAACACAAACAGTTTTGAAATAAGCTTTGGAACATAAAATACACGTGTAAAATAGTGTTCTTATTTTTGTGCCTTTGAATACGTGACTCGTTCATTGTTGTTTTATATACTTGATCTCCCATTTTCCCTAGTGTGTTTTAAATTTCATAGATATGACTTGATTAGGAGATTGTAACGGAAAATTGGAGGTAAGGTTATAAATGGATCTGTTTCCAAAGGAAACATCAAGTCATTGGGTACAGTATTCTTTTTATTTCCTAAAGTCAAATAGACTTGTTGATGTTTGGTATATTTTATATGGTTTTCTTAAAAACCCATTTTGTATAACAGAGTTTGTATGTAGCAACTCTCCACTGACATTTGGAGACCCTTGTTAAGAGTTTAAAAGAGACCTAACATGGATTGAGAGCTCCAGTAGATGGAAGGATGCCCCTGAGATGGTGTCACTGATTCATCACCATGTTCCAGGTTGTGAGTCTCAGCTTTGTATTAAGTAGTGATTAGTTTCTAGAGGACCGAAACTGGCTTAACAAAGTGTTTCGTGTATATACTAATGTATACACTAGAACACCCATCAGTTGATTTACAATGAGAGGTATTAAATGTTAGTCAACACCAAGCTTGTATTCTTGTATCAGAGTGGCTGGGGTTTTTTTTTTCCCCCCAAATTTACCTACTTTCAGAGTTTTAATAAGATACTCTACCAAAAAAACCTGATAATTTGTGTGTAATATACGTTGATTAGGTTTAATCATTTTTAGGAACATTTGTGATCCATTGAAACTCCCGAAGTCACACTTTTAAGATTCTTATGGATTTTTGCTTAAGGTCTAGAAAGGGCTCTTATGACATCAAATTTCAGCTCATGTATTCCTGTTACTCCCAAAGCTTTTCACAAGGCTTTTTTTTTTTTTTATAGTTATGGCAGAACCTTCACTTGGCTGAAACCCATTATGTTCCACCTGGAGACAGAAGATTCCCTTGGTTTTAGATTAGTTCTAGTTTTGTACTCAGTTATCAGTTTGTGAGGTACCTTGCCCTCTATCCCATGCAAGGCTGTATTATCAATATCAGTAAACAACTTGATAAGAATTTCTTGGATTTACCGTCTAGCTTCAGTATCAAAATGAATTTATTAATTAGTAGAGGCAAGAATAGAGAGAACTTGAGTGTTCCCTGACTTTGTAACCTTTGACTCCTCCAGCTGTTGTCAGGAGAATAAAGGGGGCAGCTTTTCATATGGTAAGGAGGCTTTCCAAAATTGTTTTTATGTTACTTTATGTAAGATAAACAGTCTTCAAAATCCTTGGCTATCCGTGAATCTTACCAATTAGAGGACTGCCTATTGATCACTTATCAGTTTTTGAGTTGTCCTAAACCCAGCAGAGCACTAGGAAGCAAGCAAATAAAGACTCCTGGTAGATGAAATGGACTGTCCTAAGTCCATGTACAAAGCTCATATATTTTGCTGGTAGCTATCATTCAGGGTCTCACTCAGATCCTTATTTAGTTAATTTTACGTATAATTCTAGCAAGTTCAGTAAATTTGTATTTCCAGCTGTCAGCTGATAGGTAACAGGGACTTCCTAAAGTCAGGTGCCCTGACTGATAGCAGCAAGATGAGAAAGAATCATGAAATCATCGTCGAAAACTTAAAAAACATGGTGTGCGCCTCTCCTTGCCACCTGAAGCCCAAGTGTTTAACAGTGCTTTTGGGCACCTCTGGAGGTAAGGCGAGGCACCTACTTACCATGGAAGCAGCTCTAAAAGGAGAATCTTTGATGGAAGATAAGATGGAGGCATCTTTTAAAGCCAGGTGGTTGTTACTTTCTGTGTGAGTGAATGAACAGAGGTGAATTTTGGCAAGTCCCGGGACACAAAGTGCAGTGGTGCTGTCTCACCTAGGTCCCTTCATTGCCAACCTTTTAGGTTTCATTATGATTATATCTCAGCACCTAGCACAGTGCCTGGCAAATAGTGCTGCCACACATTTTTTGAATATACATATCAGTGTCTGCTTTGTGGCTTTTTGGCATACAGACTGATGCCCCCATGGGCACCACTGTATCCTAGCATGGTTCTTCAGCTGGTCATTCTGAATGATGCAGAAAAAAGAACAGGGTCTAATCATTTTAAATTCCTCCATTATTAGACAACATAAAAGGAAGAACTAATAAATTGACTGGAAAAATTCAACATTTGGAGAAGAAATGATTGATTTCTGTGTATGTCTATATCAAAGTAAATTCCAGGTGAATTAAGGATTTGTATATGAGTAATTAAGGAAAAAAGCGAATATTCATACTATCTTGGCCTTTCTAAGCAAGAGGCATAAGGAATAGGGTAATAGCTTTGATTGCAGTTGATGGATGTAGTACACATACTATTTGAAACAAAATTATAATGCAAACAAGTTGGGGAAATATTTGTAATATAGGAAATAGTATTCTTTATGTAGAAAGAGTTCTTACAAATCAATGACAAACTCCCCTATAGACAAATGAAAAGAGAATTTATTAAAGAAGTGATATAACTAGCCAGTAAAAGAAGAAAAAGTTTAACCCTGCAAATAATTATTCAGGACTTAGTAGAAAAGCTACAATGATAAAGACTGTATTGGCAAAGGGTAGACTGGTAGATCTGTGAAATAGAATAGAAAGTCCATAAATAAACCTACACATACGTGGCCAGTTGATTTTCAACAAAGGTGCTAAAGCAATTCAATGGAGAAAGAGCCTTTTTTCCAGCAATGCTGTGGCAACAGTTTGATATCCATATGAAATGAAATGAACCTTGATCAGTACCTCACGCCATTTGTAAAAACTCAATCTGTGTCATAGATGTAAATGTAAAATGGAAAACTATAAAACTTCTAGAAGAAAACATAGGGGATCTTTGCAACCTTAGCTTAGGCAAAGATATTCTGTACAGTACCAAGAGCATGATCCAAAAAAGAAAAATTATGAATAATTAACCAAAAAAGACATAATATGGCAGATAAGCACATGCAGATGTTCCACACCATTAGTCATTAGGGAAATGCAAGTTAAAACCACACCTGTTAGAATAGCTAAAATTTTTTAGACTGACAATACCAAGAGCTGGCAAGGGTGTGAATGGAGCATTTGAAACGCTCGTACATTTCTGGTGGGAATGTAAAATTGTATAACCAGTTAGAAAAATCATTTGGCAGTTTCTTAGAAAGATGAACATACACTTACCCAGCAGTGGCCCAGCAAACTCACTCCTAGGTATTTACCCAAGATAAATGAGAATTTATGTTTATACAAAAGCCTGTACATACTTTTTTTGTGGCTTTATTCATTACTGTCCCAAACTGAAATAAATTGTGGAACATTTACACAATGGAATACTACTCAGCCATGAAAAATGGTGACCTATTGATGTGTACAACAACATGAGTGAATCTCAAATGCATTATTGGGAAAAACCAGACGGCAGAGACTACATACTCTGTGACTCCATTTCTAGGCAAAACTTGCAAGGACACACAATAGCTGTGGTTGTCAGAGACTGGGCTTGGGGAAAGGTTGACTACAAAGAGGTACAAAGGAAATTTTGGGGTAATACAGCTGCTCTGTATCTTGATTGTGGTATTTGTTACGTGACTGCATTTGTGAGAACTTGGAGAAATGCACCCTAAAAATGGTGAATTTTGTTGTATATAAATTATACCTTAAATAAATTAGGGAAAAAATAATCAGGTCAGTATACATTAAAACAGATCTTTATAATTTTACCTAATAGGCTAATAGTAAGGATTATCTATGGTGTTGGTGAGTAGGGGGCCCTCCCACAGGCTGCTAATAAATCTTACTGGCGTTAAATATGCACTACTTTCATAATCTGAAAAAAGTAGTGTTAATTTGAAAAACAAGAAATGTGTGGTTATATTTGAGAGAACTTTTCTAAAATTTTAATATGAAGGAAAATCTGAAAGTTATAATCCTACATGGAACCAACCAGGTTGTGTATTTATTGTAATTCCTAGAAAGATATACTGATTTTTTTAAATACAGGAAAGTAAGTTGCATACATTTTAAAACCACACGTCTCATTTAGGTATTAAGCCTGGAGAACTAGCCAAAACAAACATTTCAAGAGCTAATATTTTGAATTTTGAAATTTGTTATATTAAATTTGCTATTTAAAGTTCATTTCTCTTTATTCTCAAATGAGGAAGTTAGTTTCCTGGCAAGCTTAAACATTCTAGAGAAACCTGCATAATGTATCTTCTGTTAAAGGACATACCTTGCTTGACTTTTATCCCCAGTGCCCAGAAAGCTTTGTTTCATTAAACTTTTTTTGCTTTTTGAAAGAGAACCCATTTTCTTAGCCGCCATTTGCAGCAGGTGATTTTTATCAACTGGTGTTTTAATAGCTTGTATATTCGTCTTATGTTAGCACACCTCGGCCTCACACAAAAGACTGTTTTTAACATCAACTTAAGAAAACATCAGAATACTCCACTAGCTATCAAACTAAAACATTTAGTTGGTGGACACTCCAAATGTATAAAATGCGAATTCATATAGGTCTCTAATCTAGTTGCATTTGACTGACTAGACAGAATTGGACATTTTTAGATGTGGTACTAAATTAAAATGTTTCTTCTTTCTAGTTTAAAGTTAGGCATATACGCCTAAAATTGCATTGCATTTGTCATAATCTTGTGGGAAATTTGAAATGTGAAATCACTGCTTGAAAGTAAATTTAAAAAGTCACTCTGTATCCCTGGTGAAGCAGTTCTCCAATGGGTCTCCCCTTGGATGAGTATCCATATTGAAACTCAGCTAAGCAGCCATCAGAGGATTTGAACCAGGTCTCTCTGAAGCTTTAGGCCAAGCATGCTATTTTCATTAGGGCACACTGAAAGAAATCGCCCAAGTATGATGTTTTCACCGTCTTATCTTTCCATTTTCATTTGTAAAGTATTGTTCCTGAGTGGTACCAGTAGCAGGTTTGTAAAATGATTTTATGAAGGAATGCTGAGTTGGTAGGGTGTCTGCTCCTTGTCTGGTTTGGATTTGTGTGAATGTGTGCATTCCCACAATATGTGATTGATAACACTTTGACTTCTTGAACTTTTTCTGTTTTACTTGAAAAAACAAGTTTTCACAGGGCCTTAAACAGGTGACTGAAATAAACTGCAGCTTATCTTCACTGATTTATCCCACCACAGTCTGCTCTGAGCACTTCTTAGTCTCCTTTTCCTCTTACCTTTTTTTTTCCTTTGTGTGTCTGTGCGTGTGTGTGTGTGTGTAGGATTGGGAATAACCACCACCTTCCTCTGTACCCTAAAACTCTGCATCAGCGGCCTTTTGACGGGGCCCCAGAATATTTGCAGAACTCTTTAATTTCAGGTTTTCATTCAGCAAACTTCTGTTGAGCAGGCCCTAGCTGAGTGTAGACTAGTGCCTGCTCAACAGAAGGCCCTATTCTGCACTCACGGAGCTCCAAGTAATGGAGGGAAATAGAATATCTGTTATCACAGCCCATTGTGATGATGCTGAAATTGTTAGGTAGCCCAGGTTTCTAAGTTGGAGGACAGTGTGGGAATACCCTGGGGAAGATGAAGATCATTGGAGGATTTTAAGCACGTGATAGAATTGGCAGTGCCTCCTTGATCTGGAAGTCAGAGGACCCTCAGAGTAGGGAGTCTGGAATGTCTCCTAAGTTTACATTGTACCGACCAGGGTAGATGGGGAGAAATAAACTTGGGGGAAAAAATGATAAGCTTAGTTTTAGCAGCATTGATTTTTGAAGTCCCCAAGGGACATTTAGATGAATTAAGGTCAGGGAAAGGAGTGTTTTAAAGTAGGTATCAGATGATGGCATTCATTCTTTTTAGGGGGGGGAAAAAAAAAACCATTTCCCTGTTAAATAATAAAACCTTGCTTCTAACTAAAGTATTGATAAAACTAGGAATACTAGACATATCAGAAAACAGATCTAAAAAACTTGTGCAAGTTCTTCATTCCTCTTCTGTTTCTTTCTTATGCTGTTCAAATGACCTGACCGTTCTCTACTTTTGGAATGCTTTCTAGTCATGTTCCTTAAAACTAACCACTGATCTTTTTGGAACAAGAAATAATCATTAGTAACCAAAGCTCTACATAATTTTGAATGCAGACATGTAGTTCTTCTGTGTAAATAGGAACTCAGATGGATAAACGTGGGCAATTAGGTGTCTGAGTGTTGTACAGAAAACAAAGGTCCTAGGTTTTATTATAGAACTCCTGGGACCTACACACTTCTGAAACAATACTTGCTATTCTAAGAAAGCATTGCCTTCTACATTAGTGTTAGGTCTTATGTCAGTGGCTTGTGACCGTACTTGGAACTGAAAAGTGATTGCATAAATCCTGGCAGCTGTTAAGTGGTCTTGTAAAAGGTGCCCCATTTTATCTGCTGTGGTTTCAGAACATTCTACTTCTATTGCTTCTTTCATGATTTATGGCTATACTGATAAAAGAAAGCTATTAAAAGGAAAAAATAGAGGTTTCTACCTAAAACTCTTCTTCTGGTCTTCCCATTTTTATTATTTTCTAATCCTCCTCTTTTGTTGTATAGATAATTCACTTTAGAAATGACTTTTTAGGAAACCTCTCAGTAGTCCTGAAGTCCCCTCCCCACGCTGTTGGCATTTGCTTTTCCTCAGATGAATGATTAGCATGTTCTTTTACTCTGTTTTGTTTTCATTTTGATCTTAAACTCTACCCCAACCCTAGAAATAGCATAATTCAGTTATATTATTATATATAGACCTGCTGAGTGTTAGCCAGATGAGACTTCAGTGCTCCTTTCTGTGACCTCATTTCCAGCTAGCTTGAAGGCAGCCAGTAAGGGGAAACTTGTAACTCCCACCCTTTGTATTATCAAAAACTTCATTATCTCTTCACTCCTTCCTATAGTTCCACGAGTTGGGGTTTTGTTTTTTAACCAAGCCGATTACATTTATTAAATATTTCCTTTTTTTCATTTTTATTAACCAAGCACGTATAGCTGGGTCTGAAATAAAAACATACACTTCAGATAGTCGTATCTATATGAAATTTGATTCAGATGGTTGATGTTTGGTAACCCGTGGATCTTTAATGTGAATAGACAATTCCATTAACATTTTTTGGAAATGATTATAGCGTAAGGTCCCCTGTACATTTTGCTCCCTTACACCCCCATCCCCCATTTACGGTTTCAGTGATCCCTTGCAGTCTTAGGATCTCAAGCTGAGGCTGTGGTCTATACCTTAGGAGTTTGTAGTTTTGTTAACATGTTTTTTTTTTTTTTCTTACGGAAAAAGATAACCTAAAATATTCTCTAAAATGAACGGTTTTTCTTTTTTCTTAAGAGATGGGGTCTGGCTATGTTGCCCAGGCTAGAGCACAGTGGCTATTCACAGATGTGGTTTAGCACACTGTGGCCTCAAATTAAGTGGTCCTCCCACCTCAGTCTCCCTACTAGCTGGGACTGTAGGCATGCATCACTGTTCCCGGCTTAAAATGAATGTTATATTAAGACAGATACCACTTCCCACCCCCATTTGTGGAGGAATATGGTGGATAATTTTTGTTGATGCCATCCTTAGTCCTATAATACCAGATGTCTAATTCTGGGGACCCAAGCTCCTGAATCATCACCTTTTTTTTAAGAAACCTCAATTACTAAGAATAAGAAGCTTTCCCTGTTTCTTCTCCCTCTCATCTCAAACCGTATTGGCTTTGTGCCTCCTTGAACTTACCTACTGTCTGTTTCCTATATCTGTTTTGCTAATTTCCACTGGAGCATCCTTAGTGGCTTAGGAGGCTTGTAAGGGCAAGGGCATCTCTCATTCATCTCTGTCTGCTATGCCAGGAACAGTGCCTGCCACAGATGAAGCAGGGCAGGGCAGCAGCAGCCACCTTTGAATGTTTTCTCTGTGCTGAATACTTAGCATGGATTCTGTTTTAATTCATTTAATGCCCACAGCAGCTTTACAGGAAAGTAGATGACTATTAGTACTCCCATTTTAAAGATTGTGAACACATTTTAAAATAGTTTGGTTAAAGTCATAGCACTCTGTTTAGTGGCCTGTTTTTATTCTTTGCTTTGGCCCTTGGGATGAAAAAGTAAAATTATTCAAAGACAGAAGTAAAGTAAGAAGAGAAAAAGTATGGAAAATAAATACATGGAATAAATGGCCCCTTGAATAATCACATTGTCTCAGTGGGAGAGTCATTTGCCCTCTCTGAAACTTAGTTACCCTGCTGTTCTTTTCTAGTTTAAATGCTTCAAATTATGTCATTTAGCTTAGCCAACTACTTGACATAGAATTGTATTTCTATGTTTTTCAACCTTTTAGCATGTCTATATTTAGAAATTATTTGAGCCTTAACTGGAAACTGCGGTTTTATGTTGCTTTTCTTCTTTTTTATTCTTCTAATTGTGTGTCACATCATAACAAGCAGAGTGTGTTAAGGTGATTGAGCAAATCATCCTGAAGAGAGAATTTCCAAATAATTGAACTTCTTGTTGTTTGTGAGGCTAATCTTTAACAGAAAAAGAAAGTTTTCTTCAGTCAAATAAGACTGTTGGGTAATTGTTAGTTGATATTTATATTGTTCATTATATTTTTAAAACGTTATTTTGAATAATTGCACTATCAGATACCCAGTTTGGCATGGACAAGAGGTAAAAAACCAAACTGGTTTATGCACAGTTATAGTATGAGATAGTAGAGGAAATAATGTAATTAAACTCATTTTATAAAAGTTGATGTTTTGTAGGACTTATATGGAAAGATATATATTTATTGTATTTCCAATACATATGTATTAGTAGTTAGGTATGATTATAAGTAGTCACATTAAACATTGTCAATATTTGAACAATAGAAGAAAAAGTTTTTATCTACCTGGATTTTTATTGTTTGTGTATTTTCATTGTAAGCCATTTAAAATCATCCCCTTTTTTGCTGTGGAGGGGTAGCCAAGTATATATTATTTTTTAAAACTTGGTAGGTTACCCTCCTTGTATAATGGACATAGTTGGAAAGGTGGGATTTACTTTACAGTGAATTTCTAGAACATAACTTTTTGTAAATGAAGAACACATTGCAATAAAGGGAGAATAATTGTAATTGCCACTTGTTCACAGTGGTGGCTTGGGAGTTGGGACAAGTGACCCAAAATAGCAGGTTCAAGTGGTACAAAGAGGAGGATTTAAGTTAAACATCAACTGTATAAATGTCCTTTAAAAAAATCTTAAGGTACTGCTAGGACTGGGGTTATAGATTGTTTTCACTGGCTATTTAAAGAATAGATGTGACCAGTCACCATTATTAAGACTGGGGTTATAGATTGTTTTCACTGGCTATTTAAAGAATAGATGTGACCAGTCACCATTATTAAGATAGGTTTGATTTTTGAATGGGGATGGCTCTCTGGATTCCAAAGTCAAGGCAAAGAAATGAAAGTGAGTGGAGTGGACTCCTGAGTCAGCTTGCTGTCTGGGGACAGATAATGCATGCATTCAAAAAGCAATGTCAGACCTCTTAGGGACACTGCAGAGCCAAGGGTTTGGACTGAATGATCCACAGGTCCCTTTCATCTTCATTTATGTAAATGTTTAATTTCAGTGGGTTTTTTTTCATCTGATTAATTAGTTTCCATCAGAGTATCCTTAGGAAAATTTATTGTACATATAAAAAAATCACATTGTGTGTAATTTTGGGTTTCTGCCTTTGTGGCCAGTCTTTGTTTAGTTTGAACCAAGGAAAAGATATTTTATTAAGTTTTAATTATCTTGGGAAATAACATGGAACCTACATTATTTTGGGTGTTTTAAGTGTAAATGGAAACAGCAGTTGAATGTTAACAGATGTGATGACAAAGGCCGTGTGGTCTGCCCTTCCATTCTCTTTTAAGCCTTTTGTGGTCTAGAATACTTCTTGAATTGGTTTCTAATTATGTGAATGTTTATATTATCATGTCTGTTCTTCGGAATGAATGAATGATTTCTGATCCCTTTCCTAAGTCCTTTTCATCTTAAAAAATTTTTTTCATCTGAACAAAAGATCATTTTCCCATATGATTGATGGATTTGCTTTTTATTTAATGATGAAAGAGGTAAGGAGTTGTTTCTTACTGTCAGAGTTAGTCTAATGCTAGAGTTGAGAGGTCCTTAGATGTCAGGTAGTCCAGCCTTACCATTGGTGCAGAAATGCCGTATGCAGAATTTTAGACAGATGTTTCTCCTGTCTTTGCTGGAATACTTTTAGTGATGGATAACTCACTGCCTTTTCTGGTATTGTAACGGCTCCATTGAGTAGTTCCCCATTTTTAAGCTGAAGTGTGCCTCTTGGTTACTTACACCTTTGGTCCTAGTTTCATCCTCTGGAGTAATACATAACCAGTCTTTTTCCTGATTGACTATATTGATGGCCATGTTTCTTTCCTCCTTGAGCTTTAATTTTCTTGCCTATAAAATGACATGAGTTACTTCACCTGGTTACTTCACTAGCATTGAGGTAAAGAACAACTTGAGATAATTGTGACCTTAGGCAAAATTCTTTTCAGATCTCAGAGTATTAATATATTAGTTTTATTTCTGGTATATATTCTAATGGGAGAAACAGCAGTGTGTTGTCTGTTGGCTTGGGCACCTGGATAGATACTTTCCAGTTGATGTTATTGCTATATTAACAAAGACATTAGTTTATCTCTTCATTGAACATTCACTGACCGTTCACTGTTTACTAGCACTTACTATAAAAACAGTGAAGAAGACAGACACCTTCCCTGCCCTATTGGGGCTTCTTTTCCTTCATGGATGTTTGTACTTTGAGATATAAATGCTTTTGACTGCTCAAGATAAAATAATATTGTTAGCCCACTTTTACTCTTAATGTTTTTGGTTTTCTAATTAGTCCAGTATTTAAAAGTATGTCTTTGATTTATAGATATTTGGAGTCTGGGAGTGATCCTTTTCATGTTGGTGTGTGGGCAGCCACCCTTTCAAGAAGCCAATGACAGTGAAACACTGACAATGATCATGGATTGCAAATATACAGTACCATCCCATGTGTCTAAAGAGTGTAAAGAGTAAGTAAAAAAAAAAAAGTATGTGGAAACCTTAAGGACTCAGATTAAAACCAGAAGTTTTAATTCCATTAATATGTCAAGAAAATGTGAGAGGACTTCAAACATCCTAGCAGCTGGGTTCATTTTAATTTTTGAATTTAGTATTTCTACTGTTGTTAAGAGTGTTTGGTGGGGGTGGGGGGTGGTGGTTAACCCCTGAATATGATCTGAAATTTGATATTAAAGTACAAAATGTATTCATCTATTTCTTATTCAAGAAATCTATTACATGCCTCTTCAGCCTTCAGGAGTGGCGGTTATTTCACTTGAAGTGAAGAAATACCATGGGAACTACCTTTCTCTGCATGAGCAAAAAGCAAGATCACCTGGAATTGTTTTAAGTTCCAGAGAAGAGTTAGGGCATTTTCTTTCCTGAATAGACCATCAACACACTATTTGAGGGTTTACATAGTATGTCTCATAATTTGCTTCACACACGCCTCCTGCCGATTGACTAAAGGTTTATGCGACTGTGGGAAGCCAGCAACAAAAAGTATACTCGATTATTTGGAATTTAAATTAGTACATAGTACTATGATAATGTGTAGTGAGAAATACAGTAATGGAATAGAACTGTTGGAAGTTCAGTATTTCATTGACATTGTAAGTGACATTTTTTTAATGACCTCAGCTGAGGTTATAGCCACTACTTAGAGGACTTTGCTGTAGAAACAGTTTTGAGTTTCTCCTATCAACTGGTAAGAAGGAAATCTGATTGCTTGAGGAATTTTTTTCTCTAAATGAAACCCCATCTCAGGTGGATGTTTAAGAACTTAGGTATTCAAGGCTGAGGCGGGTGGATCACGAGGTCAGGAGATCGAGACCATGCTGGCTAACACGGTGAAACCCTGTCTCTACTAAAAATACAAAAAATTAGCTGGGCGTGGAGGCAGGCTCCTGTAGTCCCAGCTACTTGGGAGGCTGAGGCAGGAGAATGGCGTGAACCCAGGAGGTGGAACTTGCAGTGAGCCAAGATTGTGCTATTGCACTCCAGCCTGGGTGACAGAGTGAGACTCCGTCTCAAAAAAAAAAGAACTTAGGTATTCAAACTCTGGATTCAAATATTGACTTCTCCATTTACTAATGATGTCAGAGTGATAGAAACTACCATATAGGGTTATTGTGAAAATTAAATGAATTAATACGTGTGAAGCTCTTAGCTCGGTCCTTAGCACGTAGGAAACTATGAATATTGATGATGATTATTTTTATGACTTTACTGTTAACTATTCTCTACCCCAGGAAGCAGGGCAGCTGTCTGGGGGCATATGTTGTCTGCATGTTGGATGTTTGTGATTCATGTTATAATTCAAGGAGTATTTCCACAGCTTCTACTGAAAAAGCTTATTTTTATATTGATATATATATCATTCAAATAAGTATACAGTGTATATGTAGTAAAATGAGTACCTCTGTACCCCATTATCTAGCTTAAGAAGTAGAACAGTTCCTACTGTCTAGTAGCTGTGTCTCCCTCCTAGAAGAATTATTTTTAATACTTATTGGGGCTGGGTGCAGTGGCTCACACCTGTAATCCCAGCACTTTGGGAGGCTGAGACAAGCAGATCACAAGATCATGAGTTCGAGACCAGCCTGACCAACATGGTGAAACCCTGTTTCTACTAAAAATACAAAAATTAGCTGAGTGTGGTGGCATTGCGCACCTCTAGCTCCCAGCCTAACCTCGGGAGCGCGTCTGGAGGCAAGGAGAATCCGCTTGACACGCCCAGCCGAGGGGAGAGGCTTGCCGCTGAGCCGAGACCTCGTGCACCTGCACTCTAAGCTCACTGGGTGACTAGTTCTGCAGACTCAGCTCTCAAAAAATAAACC